GTCTTCAGACACCTGTGGTGCCGACTATCAGCGAGGAAAAAAAACTGGATAAAAAACTGGATCCCCAACTCATCTGATTGCTTCACCATCCAACAATGGTTTGGCTAGCAGTGTCTGCTGCCCATAGACATTCCACACCAGGTCCAAAAGGGCCAAATTTGGACACCTATAAAAGCTGGCTATAGACATGAGAGTACAATCAGATATACAGGTCACACTGGTAGCTAATGCATGGCTAATCTACAGAAACCTAGATGCAGTTAATGAAAACTGGTTGTAGCTATATTACAGTAGAATATTGGGGTCCTAATATCAGTCTCCATCCAAAGAAACCATTTGCTTGTGGGGCTATTTTCTTTAAAACACAAGCTGGTTGGTTCGGTGGCCTTTACCTATTTAATGCCTTGAGGATCTCTTTATAACTGTGGAGGAGACCATAGTTTCAAGCTGCCTTAGAGCAAACACTAATGTGAATTTCATTTTGTAATCTCTATGGGCTTTTTTTATGCTACTTTTTCTGGTACAGGACATGTTGTCTCTGAAGTTGATGCATTGAATGTAGAAAAAATGGCCAATGGATTTGAGGAACTTTTATAAGAGCCAAAAATTGTAACGACTAGTCAACTGGGTCAGAAAATCTCCAAAACTGGAGCTCTTGTGAGATGTTCCCAGTCTGCAGTAATCAGGACCTACCAAGAGTGGACCAAGGAAGGAAAACAAGCAAACCAGGGGCAGGATCATAAGCGGCCAAGGCTCATTAATGCACGTGGGGAGCAAAAGCCAGCCGTGTAGTCTGATCCAACTGAAGAGCCACTGCAGCTAAAATTGCTGAAAAACTTCATCCTAGTTCCAACAAAAAGGTGTCAGAACACACAGCGCATCAGTTTGTTCTGTATGGGGCTGTGTATCTGCAGACTGGTCAAGGTACCTGTACTGACTCGTGTCCACAGCCAAAAGTGCCTACAATGGGATGTGAGCATCAGACCTGGATCATGGAGCAATTGAAGAAGTCTTGGTCTAATGAATTCAAGAATGGTTTGAGGAATATGAGTTTGCGGTGCTGACCTGGCCTCTAAATTCTCCAGAACTCACTTAAATCGAGCACCTACGGGATGTACTGGAAAAACAAGTCTGATCCATGCAGGCCACACCTTGCAATTTACAAGACTAAGGCTCCATTCACACCTATGCAGTTTGCTTTTTGTCCATTTTGCAGTGATTTTTTTGTTTTCTACATGCGGTTTTGACAGGTTTTTGATGTGTTTTGCATTTTGTTCAGCTTTTTTTTTTTTTTTGTTAAAGTGGAATTTTTTTTTTTTGCTGGGCAGAATAAACACACAGCGCAGCAAAAATGCACTACCATGCATTTCAGCAGCTTCTCCATTGAACTTTATTGTAGCAAAAACACTGTTTTTTGGTTTTAAGAGTCCCTGACCCTTTCCAAAAATGCAGCAGCTCAAAAAAGCATAGAAGTTAAAAGTGTTCCATAGGAAACCATGTTAAATGGACTGTTGTGCGTTTCTGCAAAAAGCATTAACAAACGCACTGGTGTGAACGGAGCCTAAAGGATCTGCTAGTGCTTTGTGCCAGATACCACAGCATTCCTTCAGAGGTCTAGTGGAGTCCATGCCTCAACGGAGTATGGTGGGTGGCCATAATGTTATGGCAGATCACTGTAAGTACCAACATACAAGCCAACATTCTGTGCTTTGTGGTGAGGCAAGAAACCATGGCAAAGGGTAGTAGGGTTAACTCTGGTGATAGAACCCATTTCCTGTCTGATACTACAAATTAACCAATGGACAGAGAACAAGAGAAATGAATTTGGATATGGAATTTCAATTTTAAAACATTTTTGGAAATTTGGAGCCAAAAGCAACCTTTTGTAATAGAAACACTGCCACAAACCTAAAAAATTAAACAGAAAAGCACAGAAAAATCAAGTATTTTAAATGTTTATTTGCAGTGTTTTCCTTTCTATAAATTATTTTCTATTTACTTGCAATGCACCTTTGAACGTGCTAGAAAATATGACTACTCCAGCAAGATTCAATTCCTTTGCACCCTACCCCCACCTCACATCATGCCCATCTTATAGGTGTGCCCAATTATTCTCTGTGCTGTTACAGCTCCTCCACCCCTCCCCTCACCTCCCTGCATACTCTTACGTAGCTGACAGGGGAGGAGTGAAGGGGAATGCTACACCTGAGTGATGACTCCGAGTCTGCCAGGGCTGCTGACATCACATCCAAGATGGCGGCACTCAGCAGGAGCCTCAGGGCTTCTGGATGTCTACAGAGGGATTTTAAAAGGTAAAAAAACATGCATAAAATAGGTTCAAGGCACATATAATCTTAAGGGAAGATTTCTGTTGAAACTAATGATCTGGCACTAGGATCCCTTGTGGTAGTACATTTATAACAAATTGTGTCAATGAAGAAGTGTAACAGCTACGCATTTCCACAGTTCATTACATGCACTGATCATTTAGACACAGGTGCATGTATCAGCAAACTATTTCTGGAACCATTGGTCCCAGAGAAAATATTGCACGGCTTGCCTTACAGTGATATTAGAGGCAGATTTGTTTTGTTTAAAAATATCAAACATTTTATACTTACCTGCTCTGTGTGGTGCTTTTGCACAGAACAGCCCCGATCCTCCTCAGGTCCCCTGCTGGTGCTCCTGGCCCCTCCCCCCAGCCTAGTGCCCCCATAGCAAGCAGTTTGCTATTGGGGCTCCTGAGCCGCTGCTCTGTGTGTCCATTCACAGAGGCTTGCCCCCCCACTCTCTCAATGAGAAGGGAGAACCTAAGTATAGCTGGGGGGCTGCTGCACATAGATTTTCTACCTTAGTGCATAGAATGCATGAAGGCAAAAAACCTGGAGCCTTTCCAAGCACTTGAAGTTGGCCATACATAGATCAAAATTCGGTCAGTTCAGCAGGGTACGGCCAAATTTTGATTCATGTATGGGCACACTGGTTGTACAGGAGTCGATCTACATAAACGACCTCTGTACAATCAGCCTGTTTGGTTTTTTCCTGATCAATTAGTGCTGCCAGCGCTGAGCATTGTATTCTGATGGCAGGGAAGGCTCTCACCATTAGAACACAGTAGTTCAGTGGGAGAATCACCCCATCCACCTCGAATGTGTGGATGGATGAATTGGATACTTTTTTTTTTTTTTTTTCATTCAACCCGCTGGTTGAATGGAAAAAAAAAAAAAAAAAGATGAATGTATGGGCTGCCTTAGGACAGCCATAGATGGTTCAAATCTCAGCCGGTTCCTGTTGGGATTCAAACCATGTATGGGCAGGCTGCACGTTGGTCATTCGATTAACTTGGGTACAACCAACCTGCTGGATTTTACATATGAATATCATGAGCAGCTGGTATAGCCTCTAGCAATCACTGTCTTCTCCCAGTAGTCCCCGTTGGGAGAATACAATGGCTTGAATACTTATGAATACCCATGGTTGCAGGAAAGAAAATTTGCTCCATGTATGGCCTGCCTTAGATTTTGAGGTGACTTTCACATTTCACTTTTTTCTTCTGCATGTTTGTTATTGTTTGAAGGATGATTTACTAAAGAAATAGAGCATATACATTTTGTAAAGTGAATGTTGTTTGGCTTAGTGAATGTGTTTAAAACTTGTGTTGTTTGCGTCAATCATGGGTAAGCCAAAATCCTGTTTTTTTTTTTTTCGTTTATTTCCCTTGGACATGATTGGACATTCATAGTAAACAGCTTAATCTAATACACAAAAGGTAAGTGAATATGCACTTTGCAAAGCGAGGTACCTCTAGAAAATCAAACCCAAGAGCAAATATAGTTGCTGGGTGTATATGTATTTATAGGCTACACACAGAAGCCAGGTTATTTTATTTTATTTATTTATTTTTAAACTAACAAAATAAGATATTCTGTACACTAAAAGTCTTTGCACTCACCTGCTATCTGTGAAACAATGTGGCAATAGAAAGCTTCAGCACTCAAAGTTAACCAACTTTCTATAAAATATACTCCCGATATGCCGCATAAAATAATGTTTTTGTGAACATTTCACATAAATCAGAATAAATAATGTGACAAACAATGAATGTGAATAAGTGCAGTGCCAACATTGTGTATGTAAACAAGTTTCATTAACAATTTGTGCAATTATCAGTCCACGCTATGAAAATCTTTCAACCTGAAGGTAGGTAGGTAGGTAGGTGTGTGTGTGTGTGACCATGGGGCAAATAGATGGATTCTGACAGTGTAATAAAGACCTTTAAATTATTAAAAGGTCTTGTAATGTTTTGTTTACTCCCCCCCTTTAAAAGCCATTATTTTATGTGGTTTAGCACGGTGTATTGGGGAGTATATAAAATAGGATGTTATTTACAAACTGTTATTAAAGTTACCTATTTAATATGTACATTTAAAGATAATACAAAGGCTATTATTATTATTATACAGTATTTATATAGCGCCAGAAAGGTTTGCTCAGTGCTGTACATTATAGTGGGGGACAGTACATGAGACAATACAGTAACAATACAATACACGAGGGGTTCAAGGGCCATGCTCTTTCGAGCTTACAGTCTAAAGTGTTACTAAACCTGCAACAGCAAAATCAGTCTGTATATGCAGTAAAGCATGCTTGTTATACTCGCTGTGGAACCTAAGGGGTTAATCCTCTGCATTGTGTAAAAAGGTTGTTTGATTCTGTCTTCTCCTCTTCTTTTACTGTCCCCAATCCATCTACTGATAAAACAGAGCCTTGGGGCAAGCTGCACATGCTCAGTTTGGTGTGTATGGCTAGCGAGTTTTTTTTTCTTTTTCTTGGGAGAGTGCATGTAATCAGCACAGAGCCAATCAGCACTGTTCAGACAGAGGGTCAGGGTTTGTGCAGCTTCATAAGACAATCACAGGAGAATGAAAACTCTGTCTACAAGCTTTAACCAGTATTGGCTGGACACTGATAGAAGTCACAAGATTGCTCTAACTGCTGATGGAAAAAAGGACCTTAGGAGTTTATATTTACTAAAATACTTGCATTTCCATGTTCTGTGTACTGTGGGAGACCAGATATAGTGAATGCAGGGTCCTGGGTTTAGTAACACTTTATTGACCTTTGTTATTATGAATAATTAACTATGCAATTGCTAATTGATTATTAACTGTCCAGAAAAGACAAATCCTCTGTGCTCAAGAGTGACATACTAGCAATAGTTGGATCTCTGATCCTTAGCAATTCCAATGCCGGCACAAAGGGTCAAGGGAAAACCCAGAAGCACTGTAAAAAACGAGGAAGAGAGGGCAGACCATCCTTGTGCATTACCTGAGTGGTAGCTTTATTGATTTAATAAAATAGATATATATGCACAAAGAACCTCAGTGACAAAAGCATATTAGAGTCCAAAGCGACCTATTCACTGAGACAAGTCCCATGATTGTCACTGCAAAATCCAAGATTGGCTCTAAGGAAGAGGGGATCGCCTCAAAACACGTCAGATTTGGAGGGTTCTCTTTTGTTTGGGACTTTTCTTGGTTGTTTGTGAGTATTCATCTATTTTATTAAATCAATACAGCTACCACTTAGGTAATGCACAAGGCTGGTGCACCCTTTCTTCCTTCATTTTACAATGATTAAAAACTTTATCTGAGTACCAAAAACACTATTTAAATCAATTTTAATAATAAAAGCAAACTCACCCATTCATCCCTGTCTCCATGCTTTATTTTATTGAGAAATCACTTTTAAAAACACCCAGCAAGGGCAGATGATTCATGTAGCGTTTACTCCCAGGAATCCATCTGCCCTTAGCTCAGGCATGCAGGCAGGAGGGTGTGCTTAGCTGAGAAAGCCCGTCCTGCAGATCAAATTTAAAAAAAATGCCCTCGAAGACTCCTTGGATGCATGAAATCACTTTGGCTTAGGCCAGAAACCAGGAAAAAAATAGAAGTTTAAAACTACTAAATATAATATTCTATTTACTAAGACTAGCAACACAAGGATTAAAAATACTGAATGCTAATTGAGTTCTGCTTTAAATTATAATTCTACAATTATTAAATGCACAAAATCTTAATAAGACTATCAATGGCCTCTGTTATCATAAACCAATTTCAGTTTTCAGTATACAATGGCTGCTGGAAACACTGAAGCATTCACTCGCATTTCATATATTTTGCAGGCAGATGAGCGACATACAGTGGGTATAATAAAGAATCACCCCCCCTTTAAAATAATCACATTTTGTTGCTTTGCCACCTGAAAAGAAGACAGACACTGTTTTTGTTTTATCCAGCTGTATTTTTTTCTGACATGTTAATGTTATATCTTACACTTGGGCGTTATAAGCTGCACTGAGTAAATACAGCTGGATAAAAACAAAAACTGTGTCTGTCTTCATTTCAGGCTGAAAAGCAACAAAATGTGTTAATTTAAAAGAGGGGCAATTCTTTTCTATTAAACTGTACAATGGCCTTGGAAATTTAGAGGGAAAATCTTCCGCCTGATATCTGTAGGAGAACTTAAAAGTGGTACTAAACCAAAACCAATAAATTTAATTGATTGCATCTTATCAATCATTAGATGTGAGGGCTGCATTTGTTTTCCTTTCTTTAGCTTTTTTCACCTGGTGATCTGGCCAGTAATACACTTCCTGTATTAATAAGACACAACTCTGGATAAATGAGCACAAAAAGGACACAGCAGCATTGTCAGTTGGGGAGGGGTGTTAGATGAACTAGCAGATTTAAACATACTAACAAAATGAAACCAAACCCCAGCTCGCACTGTATAATCAGTTATAGTAAACAGTTTTTTTTCTCTTAGGGATACAGCTTTTACATAAATAAATAGCTGACCATTTTAGGCACCCCCTGGCAGTGTTAAATGGGTTGTCTCATCCATGTAATGGAAATATTCTGCTGGAGAGCTTGTGCTTTTGCAAAACAACAGACTTGCTGGCTGAAAATGGAAGAAAGAAAACCTAAAAAAAGAAGATGAATGCAGCCATCACATATAAGAATTGGTAAGCTGCAATATAATAAAGGTTTGATTTTGAGTTTATTTTTTTATTTAATTTTTAAACTTTATTCTTTTCATCTTATCCCCCCCTCCCACCTATTCACCATTCCCCCCCCCCCCCACGACTCTGCAATTTTCTAGGGATCCCAAACTCGACAAAGTAAGGAGCAAGTAAAAACCTTATTGTTCTATATTAATCCCCCATCAACTCCATATTTAACTTTGATTTTTTAAATTCCTCCCATTTGCTCCATCTTGTATGGTGACTCTCCATCTTATCTTCATTCATATGATAAAGTTCCTCCAATCTACATATTTGATCGACCCTCTCAACCCAATCTTTTATTTTCGGCACCTTCTGTCTCCTCCAAAACTTGGGTATCAATCCCTTAGTTGTGTTCAAATAATACAATAAACCAGATTTTTTTATATTTTTTGACTGAGAGCTTGGTACTTTGAAAAAGGCAAGTCTCTGGGTCTTTTATTACTTCTACCTCTGAAATTTTTTGAATCAAAAAAATGCTTTGAGTTTAATGCTGCTTTAATAAAAAAAAAAAAAAAAAATAGACTCACCAGTGTGGCACCCTGAAGGTGATATTTTGGATATGAGCAGACTGATCTTTTCAACCAAATAAACAACAACGTAGATACAATTATACACGGTCACACAGGTAACAAGCAAACGATTTATTAATTCTACATAACATTTTGCAAAAATGGATTTCTTTCAAAAACTTTCAAAAAAACGTTTACTAAAATTTTCTCCAAAATAAATACATACTAAAAACAAACAAAACTAAGGAAAACCATGGTTTTAGCAGGAACATTATTTTATAGATACAAATGTAGTAAAACTTCTGAGACCTCTAGTGTTCATCGCCATACAAAAGCAAAACAAAAATATAAAAACAACTGAAAGCACTGTATAGTGCAAAAACAAGGTTTTTTTTTTTTTTTAAATCATCATTTGGCAATCATTTATACTCAACACCATACTCAATTACAAATGTCAAAATCTCACAATTGTTTGGGGTTAATCGTATCCACATAGTTTGCACCATAAGACTGGTTTGACATCATCTTAAAAAGTAACTCCACTTTTGGAGAAGTAAAAAAAAAAAACATTCCCCTCTGAGTGATCTATGTACATTGTAGGGATTTTTTAAAAACTTTGTTGCTGAATCCTACCTTTTGTTATTCTGGAGAAATAGCGGTTTGTTTGCCTGTGTCCATGTGCACAGGGAATCTATATGGGAATGATTTTATAATTATCAATCAGCTGCTGCACCTGTAGGGGAGGGCAGTGGAAGGGTCTGCATCATTTAGATGTGATTTCACTTTGGAAGTGTCTCAACACAAATTACATTTTTGTTGCAGGGGATGCCAAAAATCTGACTTGTATCTACAGACTTCTGGGAAAATCAGTAAGCCAATAACACAAGCAGGAAATTACAGTTAGGGGGGGGGGGCGTTCCGTCAACCATCTGTACAGAATGCCTCCAGGTAGCCATATTGCATTGCATTTTACAGAAATTACCATGCTGCAGTTTGAAAAGGAATAGTAATTTTTAAATAACATTCAATTACAATATGACTTGTGTAGCAACTGTATACACTATATTATTTTTTTTGCTAATTTTTATCCTACGAAAGTGGAGTTGCCCTTTGACCACAAACAGGCAGATGTATCTTACCAACCACAAGCAAGAGTGATGCATCTGTCACCACGGAACTACCTGTACTGTAGCTTACAATTCATGAAACTTAACAAAACACATATTAAAGTGGTAGTAAACTCCGATTTTTATCTTGTACCTACAGGTTAGTCTATAATAAGACTTACCTGCAGGTCCAGGGAATATCTCCTAAACGATATTCCAATGTGTAGCAGCCAGTGACATCACCGACACATGCACACTGTGCTCTCATTGGACGGCACACTAGAGTACGCTGTCTATTGACGGTCGAACGTGTGCATGGGCTTGCCCATTCAAAAACCTGAAACCCGCAGTGCGTAATAGTATATCATGGCTTAAGCCTGCAGGGGGACCAGCCTTTTGTTTTTTACGCAGTGTACTACAGCTTCAAGAACTTCCTCTTCCCAATGAGATAGTCCAAGGATCAAGGAATTATCAACCATTGTAGGGCAGAAAAATCACTGAACGCACCAATGAGTTCTCAACAGTTTGGCTCATTCACTAGGCAATTATGTAGCATTTTCCACCAGTTTCAATTGGCTTTTGATCACAAAACAATCAAACATAAAGCACTTCAGTTTCGAAAAAAAACTGTTGGTTTTAGGTTGTCATGACTGGTTATTTGCTTGAAAACTGGTAGAAGAGGTCTGAAAATACAGAAAACATTCTAGGGCAGGACAAGCTTCAGAATAGCCTTACATGGTCCAATCCTTGGATATGGATCTCATTGAGCAACTACTCCAAAGATCAGCCAATTTCAACTATTTTCAAACCACCAGAATAAGCAAGCTTGATTCAATATAATTGCTGAAAACTAAGCAAATGTACCTTCCAGATTGACATGTCCTCAAATGGTGGTGAGCTGGCCATTTAGGGAAGGAAAATGAAAAGATCCTGATGTAAAGTGACAGCAAGTAAATAAGATGTGTGATTCAGTGGCTATTTTGAAATGAACAATCTGGATACTTAAAAGAGAAATTTAGGGTTTTTTTTTTGTTTTTGTTCTTTTGTCTTTTTTTTTTTTTATTACCTAGATGGGTGCAGCATCGAGCTGATGCTGCATTAGTCCCCCGCCAGTTCTAACACTAAGAATTGAGCAATCAAGGACCAATGACTACTCAGTTCTCAGTGCTACATGAGCAGAGAGCTGGTGACTGTCGATCACCACTCTCTGCTCTACCCCCTTCCCCCGCCCCCCCCATGTGCTCACTGGAGTGCTGGGCTGTGGAGGGGGGAGAGAGCGGCTGGCTCAGGCTCTCAGCGGATCGTTGAGCCAGGTGCTGGTCCATGGATCTCAGTGGATACCCACCTAAAGTCGGGATCTTTTCTCCAGTCTGGACTGTCTTAGTGACGTCAGCTGACATCA